TGTTAATAAAATATATTAAGTTTTAAAATGAAAAATAAATTGTATAATTTTTTATTCTTTAAAATGATTAAAATTTTAAAAATATTGTTTGCCAAAGAAACAATTTTTATATCGACAATAAAGTTTTGACATCAATAAAATATATAAATTCTAATGTTTTTTTATTAATTGTGTATAAAATTAAGTAAAATCATTTAAAGATATTTAGACAGAAATATTCAGAAATATAAAGTAGATTAATTTGAATTAAATTAGTATTTTAAGTTAAAAAATAATAATAGGCGTTAAAATACAAAAACTAATTAATTTTCATATTTTATCTACTTATTTATAAAAAGGTAAAATACTTACGATTTAAATTATTTTTAATGTAATTCAACATTCTAAAAATAAAATAGGTTCTAATACATCTTAAACTTATGTAAAAATGTAATAAATAAAAATATTGTTAATGATAGATAATTATATTATAATTGAATAAAATATTTAAAGTGATAATAATTTTATTTAATATAATACATTTTAATAATACATTTCAAATATTAATAAAAATTGAATTTGTTTTTGTAATATAATTTAAAAAATAACATCTATTTCTTTTAAAAAAATAAAAGTATTTAAATATAACAGATTAAAATTGTTATTTTGAAAAACAAAATTGTAAGAGAAATAAGGATTTTTTAAAATAAGTAATATTAAATATTACGTATTTTTATGTTTTAGTTAATATAGCTTTAAAAAGAATTAGAAATAGATATTATTTTTCGTAATCTTTTATTGATATAATTTTTTAACTGTTAAATTTTAAGACATTAATTTTAAAATAAAAGAAAAACAAAGAAAATTAAAAATTCTATCCTTTATATAAAATTTAGTTGTTTAATTAATTATATTAAATATTTAACTATCAAAACACTCTTAAATATTCCTCATATTAAATATTGCTCTCAAGATCATAATTTTTTAACTTTTAAATAATTGATTATTTTTTTATTTTTTAATTTTGTAGATTAATTTATTTTCTTATTATACTTCTTTATATTTTAATAAAGCTTATAAAAGATGGTTTTTAATAAA